TGGTTTGCATTCCCTAATAAGCCTCCATCTTAGGCTTATCTATTTGTTAATACCAAGGTTATAACCCATTTTATTTGTAGAGTTTGCCACCAGCATTTCTACCTTAGAGAAAACAATGAGTAAATCACTATTATAAAAAGACTAGGCGATTTCCTCAACACTATATTTCTCAAATCCTTGGTGAAGGGTGGTTTCACTGGATTTCTCTCAGGGCTTGAGCAAATGGAAGGGGATACATGTGGAGAATTGAATCTTGCCTTTGAATATCTCTTTCTATGTTTGCCAAATTATTTGTGAACTCTCAATTTTGTTAGTATGAATCAGTATTGGTTTGAATTGTAAATTACTGCTACTCAGTACTTATAAACTATAAATGGCACATTATTCTTCACTTAAACAGTCCTTGCAAGAGCTTCTCACTGTCTTTGAGGTGAAATGCATGCACTTTAGCCTTCTACACAGGAAGCTCCCACACTGGGCATCTGTGCGTCTCCATGTCTTTATCATTTACTACCCCCAACCCTATCATTTACAAGTTGATTTCAGTTTTCCACATATTACATGATGATATTCTGCATCTGTACTTTTATTCATGAAGTTCTCGATTCCAGAAACTCTAGTCCTATACTTGTCCTTCTCTTAAACTTTTCATTCATAAAGACCACACAAAAACTTCAGCTTCCTCCAAGAAAGTTTCTGGTGTTTCCTCCCCCAACAACAGAGACCCCAAGAAATTAAGTTATTATAAAATCACATGGTTCTCTTAAGGTGATTTCCTCTATGTGTTTCCAAATAGATCAACGTTTTGAGAACAGAGATCAAGTTTTATTTATGTATGCATTCTTAGGATGTTGAATAATGTTGCTGATACAGAAAATGTCAAACAAATCGTTGTTAAATTGTTACAATTTCCAGTAGGGGATATTCAATGAAAGTCCATTGGATATAAGCACAGTTGATTGTAGACTAGTACTCAGGGGAAAAATGTTTAAGTTTAGCTACAAGAAAAAGACACAAGAAATGGTGTAGGAAGTCAGGTAACAGGGGTCAGGAAGAAACACAAAAATTGAAGAAGACACCAGGCATATAACTACTTCCTAACTGTTGACACTTTTCCTAACAAACAGTATCTGCTTCTTAACATTTATCTATGAGTAAACTTCTTAGTTTCATTATTGCTATGGTCTGAATATTTATGTTCCTCTAAAATTTACATGTTGAAATCTCACCCCCAAGGTGATGGTATTAGGAGGAGGCAACTTTGGGAGGTGGTTAAATCATGAGGCCATGTGATATGATTATGCTATTGCCAAATATCTTTGTTTCTAACAACTCTGGACACTTGAACTTCAAAACTCTGTTTAGAAGCATTTACACCAAATGTAATAGAAACAGTTGATACCTTGAAGATTAAAACAAATTATCATAATAACGCTAATATCAGATATAATGATCATAATTGCTACCATGTGTTAAGTGCCTACCACATATGATAGGTCCCACATCAGGCACTTTATCTTTAACCTTCATAAATAAAATACAAGTTGCATTTTTTCCACTTTAAAGCTAAGGAAAAAGAAAACAGCACAGGTAAATTAAAGAATTTGATCTGAGCTCAGGTCTATTTGAGGCCAAACTTGTGCTCTTAAGAATACAAATTGACATAATATAACAAAACTAATTTAATATAAATGGATAACTTCGAGATGCTAAAAGTTGAAAAATAAGGATAAGAGTTAAATTTGCCATATTTAGTCCCAAGAGATAGGATTTCTGAGGAACACACTGAACTGGGTTTCTTCTTGCCATTTACTGCTGGTGTTCATTTCCGTTTCATTTGCTTTAAGTGTTGTATTTCATTTCAAATTGCTTCCACTGGTACTAAAAATGAATTTAGAGCACAGAGGAAAAAATACAGACAAGTTATTTCCAGTTCCTTAGATGAGATTTTCAGGGCTTCTGTCATTTGAAAGCAGAATCTTTTCTTTTGCTACTCTTAGAAGTAATTATATAAGTAGTGATGAAAGTGACTGCGGCTTTTCTTACTGGTTAGGAAACTGTCTTCATGATCTTGTACCTCTCTAACCCACCAGTCTCTCAAAATCTTCTCAATGGAATCCAGTAGATAAAAATACTGAAGAGTAATCATTTGTCATCTATGCTTTAAAAATTAGACTTATAAATGGAAAACGCAGTTTCTGGAAAGAGCTGAGGTTTTTGTTTTTATTCCTGAACCAAGACCAGGATTTAATAGCATACAGTTAAAAAGGAGAACATCCTCTGATAGACTGAGGTTTCCCCAGCCAAGTAGCAGAAAAGGACATCAAGGCCCTCCAAAGGTAATTTTAACAGAAGGGAGGGAAGGTCAGAGCTGGTGACTCAAACAGCACGCTAGAGCTGGTTCTGGGAAAATGACCAGCTGTGGCTGGAAGCCCAGGCTGGCCCAGCAATCCTGGATTAGCAACCATGCTTTGGGGAAAATGTCTGAACATGTAAACATTAACCAATGAGCCTGACCTCAGAAGTCCAAGTATGAGCCTCTCAATGTTCAGGCAGGGACTGTGCCAGTGGTGTGTGTGTGTGTGTGTGTGTGTGTGTGTGTGTGTTAACCACCCACTGGATTACATGGAACAACTTGCAAGAGAGACATGTTATGGCAGCAAGAAGAACAAAAATAGGCAAAAACCTGATTTTACTTGTGCACCGAGTGAATTCTCCAGTTTGTCTTTAAATAAAATTGAGATGCTGGAATGGGTAGTTGATACTGAATAAATCTCTGCGGTATCTTAACAAGTCAGGCAGTGAGGGATTTCTTTAGAAAGATACTGGACTTCCTCCTAATCTGAAAAATAGGGCCCCTACCAGTTTTAATTTTGAAATAAGAGAGATATGTTCGTATTTGCACTCCAATCTGCTAATGCGTATCATACCAGTTGTATATACATTTCTGCTAATGGAGTAAGCTGAATCTAACTTCTCTGTTACATTATATGCAAGCAATTCTAATTTATGATTTGCATGTATTGCGTTCAAGGGAGTAGATCCTCCTTAACCACTGAAATCAAGATTGCAGATTCCAGAATTGGCAAAATGAATCAGAAGTACCCTTAGAGAAATCTGCTTTAATAAGGCTTATTTTAGTCTGATTGTGTTACCCATTACAAAATCACAATTTTCATAACACGGAAAAGCTCTTATTTCAAGTTGACCACATGTTGATGATCTTAAACAAAATATTACTTCCCTCGGTTAACCAAGATGAAATCCTCACATCAGCACTCTCAGAGTATTGTAAGCTGAATGATTGTGATGTATATTATATTTCAGGTTCATAATGCAATAGTTTTTATAAACATAGGTTTATGACTTTGTATTTCGGGAACTAGTATTTTTTGTAAGGTCTAACGGCCTCATTCTTTTAGGAACGTGCAACAGTGTAACTTAACTGTATATTTCAAAAGGTAAAAGCACTAATTAGAGCTTTAAATGTAAGTTGAATATCTAGACCTTATTGAGGACTGTGCTACCTCCTTAATTCTATGTAATATTTATGTACTACATTATATAGCTTAAAACCGCTCTTCTCATTGATGACTTATTCAATCTCATTGTCAGTTAACATTGAGAAAGGTGGGCATAAAAACCCCATTTGAGAGATTATAGAAAATAGTAGCCTCTCCAAAATCAATATGTGTGAATATACATCTTAATCTTTTTGGAGGTTGCTACTTAGGAAGAATAATCTTCACAATTTCTCTGGCTTAACATCTAGACTTTCATAAGCTCCAAGAGCTCAGAGGGACTGGGGTCTTCATCACACTGACTAGTTCATTATCCAACAGTCCCAAAGTCCTACTAAAATTAGTCCTTTGGCAAAGGTACATCCCAACCTCATTGCTACCAGACAACAAAGTACTAGGTAGGTAAGTTATCATGCATGGCCCTCCTTCCTGATAAACCTAGAATACTGTATTGATCTCTGCTTGTTGACTGGAACGACGAATATATTTATTCCTCAATGAAGCCAAAAAATCGAGCTTTGTGCCTAGACACCAGGTTTCCAATATTTAGCAGAATTAAGACCATTTGCTCAACTGCCCAGCCAAATTTGAAACACAGAATAACAAGGAACACATTCTTGACTTTGTGTTCTCCTACATTAACTAGTTAATGCATTCATTAATTTTAAGTCCATAATGGCCTTTCTCAGCAAATGAGGTTAAGCATTTGTGAAAATTCTCAGGGATCTCCAAGGCTGAAGCACTGGTGTGAACAGGTTTTCAGCCTGATGTTTTTGGGTGCTTGCCAGCCAATAGGCACTTCCGTTAACTCTGTCAGCTGATATGTGAGTGCTGTAAACCAAACACATGACATTGCACCTTCCATCCCACAGTGTGGCCTTGGCTGCAAGACATGGAGCTTGGCCACTGCCTCCTCTCAAGACTTCTGCTAATTAAAAAATAATAATAATAATTCATCAAAAAAGCAACATCCAGGGTAGCCTGATTTAATCTGAGATGGATTTCAGGTGCTAGAGAGGTAAGACAATATGACTCTGTAGCTAGTAATCATATCTTTAACAGATTACACTTTGAAAATGTATATTTGTTAATTTGAAATGAACAATATATTTTTCCCTTTCTTCCTCTATCAGGGGTGCAGTCATACCTGTGCCTCTTTAAACTCTTCATATTAGCTTTTTCCAAAGCAGTGAGCATACATCCAAATTTATCTCTTTTTGTAATAGAAAGAGATTTGTAAGGTCAAATGTCCCACTAACACTGATTCAATCTGAAATAGTAGTCAGAGTTTAGTGTTTCTATCAGGAAATTTAAAAAATTAATTTTTCTTCAGTTGCAGATTTCCATAACCTCTAACACAAGCATATACACTTATTTATGTCTAGTAAAGTACATTGGAATTGCTCTCTTGGAGAATAACTAGGAAAATAATAAAATTTTATTTTTGTAATACATAAAGAGAAAGAAAAAATGCAAAATGCAAAACAGGAGTGAAATTTTGGCAAAGGAACCAAAGGTGAGAAAAAGATGGTGCTGGGAGATGATTCATGGATCTGCCGTTTTTGCACATCTGAGCAAAAGGCACTGGCAACTTGTTCAAGGAAACTTGTCCAAGGTGTTAGCAAAGATGTTTCTGGACAGGAAGCAGATTTCCTTAGATTCCAAAGTTCTAAAGTTGGAGTCCTCCTCCCATCTCCTGACATGTTCCAGGGTGCTAAAAGTAACATCTCTGTCCAAAGGCAGATTTGTTTTCCGACCTGACAATTTGTCTCTGATCAAAATTATAAAGATAATGTCTCTCTCCAGAGTGGAAGATAGGCAGATGTGCTTCTGGTCCCCTCATAAGATTGGAGAGCTTCCTAAGCTCAGCATTCTTCAGGCATAGCCATGGCCCACACTGTGTGAGCAGCATTCACCTGGGCCTGCTTTGGAACTGTGGGGACGAGACGAAGTGATGCAAGCATAAGGCTCATGCTGTCTATTGCGCAGTGGGCAAGAAACTGTCTACCTCCACTTGGGCTCATTGTCTTCTTGCTGTGGTGGTGTGACAGGCCCACCCGGCAGCTCCAGTAGTAACTGTTGCTTAGGAATTTCTTGATTGGCAGGTAGATTTAGAAATGTAAACATCAATCTTAGAAATGTCAACTTTGATTCTGTGATCTGTTAAAAAGGAGGAAGCTAGAAAACGTGTAACAGGCCTGATGACACATGGTGTGGAAAGTTTTCATAGGAAAATATCTGTCAGTAAAGAGTTGAGAAATACTCCACTTCTGCTGAGAAGGTCGATTATAGGCTATCCAACGTGTGTGTGTGTGTGTGTGTGTGTGTGTGTGTGTGTGTGTGTGTGTGTGTTTTCATCTCAAGCATTCAAGCTATCTGCGTCTGGGATTTAAATGAGAATTGAGAGACAACAAATCTGAGATGTTCCCTATGTAAATATAAGACAAAACAGAATTTTACCACACATACTATCAGAAACACACATATTTGTAAGGTCTAGGGGAGAAGGATTCTGAAAGAACTTGTTGACCAAGGGAAGATTTAAAATTAGTAGCATATTTCCTATTAATATTAATTTATTATATATAAAATAGTGTCAAAATTTCCTTAAATTTTTTGCCTCTTTATTTCAGTGAAAATAAAAATACTGTTAATGCTTTCATAAAATTAGCTATTTCATAGAAACAGCTTATTTTTCTAAACATTAATCAAAAAAATAACTAGACAAGGCACCAAAAATTTACCATTAGTGTGAAAGTTTTGATTTCTGTAAAATGTAAATATTCCTAGAAGGAACAAAATTAGCAATAATTATCAAAATTGATAATAGTGAGTCAATTTCAAATTATCTGGAAAGAGACATTTTGTTTAAAAAGGAGCAAGAAGAGAGAACAATGAAATTGTTCATGACCAACTAAAAGTTCCAAATGGATGGATTAATTGAAGATCGTTAATCAGGAATCTTGCTTTCCATAGCGTTGTATCTGACAAAACCTGTGTCAAAGAGGATATTTTCTATCTGCACTAATTTGATCAAAGACCTTATAAAAGCCAGTGCTTTCAAACTAATGAAATACTGGTGTTTGCTTGCTGAATATTAGCACTCTCTTTTCCTTTATAAATCTCATCTGTCATTTCTTTTTTTAATATACAAGTTGTTAATGAAAATAAGCTTTATTACATCAAGTAATAAATACACACAAAGATGCAATTTTAGCCATTTTCTTCCAGTTGCTTTGACCAACTTACAATAAACCCTGAACTGAGATCTACTTACAGTCTTAATATGAAAATGTTCGGAGTCCTTGTTAGGTTTGGGGGGTTGATATTTCTTCTGTATTTATAACGTGCATTTTAAAAAAAATGGACTTTGAAGCACTAATAGTCATGCAAATGCTTAGGCAAAAAAGAAGTTACATTAGGCAGAATCTACACAAATGGAAACTAGCTACTAAGTAAAGCATACTGTCAATATGCATTAAAAACAAAATCCCTAGAGTGGTATTAGCTTATGAAAAGGAACGAATATTTACCTTCAGTTTCCCTTCCATGTTTTCTTACGTTCTTCCAACCTTATCCAGCCCTTAGAGCAATGGAAAGTCAGATTCTCTAGATCAGTCACTCAGTCAAGAAGCATACTGAGCAAATCACTCACAAAGAACACAGAACATAGTGGGCAAGTATTCTTTCTACAAAGAAGGTGAAAGCTAGAAATTAGAATGAAACACACAGACAGCCCGCTATATCCACAGGTTCCTGCACAACTGATTCCAACCAACCAAGGCTCTAAACTATTCAAAAAAAGCATAACAATACAACAATAACAAAAATAACACTACAGCAATAAAAATACAGCATAACAACTACTTACATAGCATTTACATTGTACTAAGCAACCTAGAAATTATTTAAAGATTCGATGAGAAAACTGTGCCATTTCATATCAGGGACCTGAGCATCCCATACGGGTCTTGGAATCAATTACCCACAAATACCAATGGACAACTGTACTAAATAGATATATGCATTTATTTGCTAAACTGCTATTAAAATATTTATTTGGTACTATTAGTACTTACTATCTTTAAAATCCATTTTGCTCAACATTTGTTATTGAAAGAATAAAAATTTCATTTTAAGGTCAAATGATTGTACACGGTATTTACACATCTTAATGCTGATTATGTGACAACTGGTCATGAGAATATTTTTGATGCATATACATTTTTCAGTGTGGTCTGCCTAACATTGTAAAACTTCGTATAAAAAGAAAACTTTATTAAAAATTCCTCAATTTTTTCTTTAATGTAAACTTACTAATGTATTCTGGTAAATATATACATTAAAATAGTTATATATTATGTTAATATATGTTAATTATATATGTTTTATATATATGTTAATATATATATGTTAATAGTACTTCTTGTTTGCTATCTGTAAGGAACATTTTTTAAATAAAATTTACTTTTTATTTAAAAAATGTTTACTTTCTCTTCAAAGAAAAAAAAACAGAAGAACCATTTCAGGAAATCACTAAGTTTTGGAACATTGACAAATTGCTGGCTTAAAATTGAAGAATAAATATTTGAAGGATATAAATGAAAGTTAACTTATTGCTAATTAAATTCTAGTTTGGGGATTATAAAACTTCCTAGTGTGCATTCATTATTGAGAGATTTATATTTTATTTATACTTTTGCAAAGTTAAATAACTTCAAATGATAAAATCTTGTTACGTTTATACTAATTCTTATCTAATGATACGGTTGTTTCACTACTGCATTTCTTAGTTTTAGCATCTTTTTCTGCTGTTTTATATTAATAACTTACTGCTAATGTATCAAAAATCTCATGTATTTGTTATCACTGACCAATAGTGCTTGTGATAAACGTTGTAGCTCAAGAAAAGTTCCTGTTTCAGTATCAAACACATGTAGCAGGTGTCATCTTGTCTTTGTAGTATCAGCCCTTCAAGTGGCCAAGGTGGGCTGACCAGTTTCTCAGTTAAAAAGAGTGGAAAAGATTCCCCAGCAATCTAGCCAGGTTTTAGAGAGTAAACGCTTTCCAGTACCCTACCTATGTGGTGGTTAAAGCTATAAAAATTAGGGACAATTTCTGAGATCCCTCCAGAATAAGAATTGGTCTGTCACTGAGACAAGGCCCAGATACCAAAGAATTTCTTTAGGTTAAATCTGCTCACAAAAGGTCATCAGGTCAATTTGACTTATCCCCAAGTATGACTGCAGCTGACTACCTTAATGTTTAAATTCTCAGATAAAGTAGTTTCCTAGGTCTAAACCATTTCCAACAGGATGTGATGGAGAACTATCTTCCTTTCTTCTCTCTCCATTTCCCTGCTGAAACCAATCCACTGGATACCTCATCCCTAACATCATGATAATTTTACTTCAATTTCTTCAATCACTTCCCTAAACTCTGTATCTTAGTTTCACTCACCCAAATTTATTCCAAAAATGTTTTAATTCTGAATCATGGGGACAGATGTTTGAAGACTATTGATTCCTTCTTCCCACTAAACAAGAAGCATATAGACAAATTGAGTGTTTTGGGAGGCCCTCACATTTGTACCAGGAGGAGGGGCTTAATGTCAAACCAGATAAAAGATTGTAATGGCCTCGATATCTTGTTTCTTATCCGTGATCTGCCAGGCTTGCATGTAAAAAAATCCCACAAAATCTCCTCACAACTGTTTTCTACCATTTTTTTTCTTAACTGAGGAAAAAAAAAAAACAAATTTTTCTTAAGTAGGCAGAAGAAAAAAATAGTGCTTTTGTAGTGCTCCATCTTACAAATGTATTACCAGCACCTGACAAGAGAGCACAAGGAACTCGGAGAGAAAACCAGACTTGTGAATACAGATTCAAACTCCTAAATGAAAAGTAGCAAATCAAATCAGATGTGCATGTATGCTTTCCATTCCAACACATCAAATATTTACATCAGAATTATGTCATTGATATAACATCAATAGGTCATTTTATTATTTAATTGGATTTTTACATTTTAAATATTTATTTAGTTGTAAAAATTGTCATATGATGAAATGAGAAATACCACTTTTATCCCTCCCAAACTCCCCTGTGGCCTATCATTTTTAGATACAGTGATGCATTCTTCCTTTTAATGGCTGGTATATTATTTCATTGTTTAAATTGATCATAATATATCTAATTAGAATCCCTTTAGTGAGATTAAAATCACTTCTAATTTATTAAAAAGTTGCACAAAACATTAGGTAAGTGTTTGAGTAATTTTGTTGTTTAAATTTCTGGAATTAGAGCTGCCTCATAAAAGATATTTTAATTTTTCTAAAAATTTTAAAATAAGTTTCTAAACCGAATATACCAATGTTAATGCATGAAAGTGCCTATAACTTTAGACCATCTAGATGAAAAAGCCTATCTCAATATTGTTTAATTTTATGTTTGTTGTTTAAAGTTGTTCTTGAGATTTAGTTTCTTTTAAT